GTATAGATAATGCACATGTTCATTTTTTTTATCAATAAGATCGAACTCTAGATCGCTTGAATCATAGAAACTTTGATACCATATAAAGAATCAATTTAACACCTAAGTTTAAATTATTAAGTGAAAGCCACAATAATAATTTTAAATCTAAGCCTGCCACGTCAAGAACATTTGTTAGCATTTGAAATATAGAAATTAAACTTTTTATTAGATGAAGAACACAATAATGATTTTATGTTTTATACGTATAATATGTGTTTCTGAGGCTCAATAAGCAGAGTTGTTAATTCTTTTTTCAGGAACATCTCAATCCCTTAAATTTTTTGATTTATAAAATTGAATAGTAATTAGTTTTTTTTTTGAATATTTAATTATTTATTAATAGAATGAGAATCAAACTTATGACCACTTAATTTTAAAAGCTCTAATCATAAGTAAAGAATTATTTCAACTAGAAAAAAATATTAAGTGAATGTTACATTATTGATTTTGTATTATATTTTTCTAACAACTATTAAAAGGGATAACAATAGAGTATTTGCAAGAACTAGCTAGTGAGAATGTAAATATTTTTATATGATCAATATATTTTTTATTCTTATATTTAATATTTATTTTTAATTTAGTCTTTATAAAAAAATGAATTTAAATTTCATACATACAGCTGTTTTTTACGTACAATATTATCGTTGAAATTGTAATACAATAAAGGTTAGTAACCAAATTAAAAATAAGTATCACGTCTCATAGACTTGTCGGATTGACTCGTAATCCCTCAAAAAATGAGTCGGGTTAAGTTGACAAAAATAAGCTGCCAACTCGAGCTAACCCGACCCGGGCCAGTTTGGAAAAAAAATGAGTCAACCCACAGGTCAAACGGGTCAGCTCGTGGGTTGAATTTTTCTTATATAAAAAAAATACAAAATATAATATACAAAAATGGACAAAATTCACACACGTTGTCATCGTCTTTCTTCCTTCTTTAAACAAAAGTCCTTAATTTTTTTACATCGCTGCCATTTTTATATTGTTAGACTATGTTGGCTATATATGTTTGGTTCAAATATCTTACCCACTTGATAGCAAGTGGTTCTGATCATTTCTCGATATTGGTGCAAATTTATAGTGAAGAAAATTCGAAACTAGAACATTTTACTTTTACTTCTCATTTTGTAACTTTCTATTTTGCTTTTTTTATAAACTATATTCTGTAAGATAATTTATTGTTTAAGCTGATGGAAGTCGCATAATTGGTGCATTAGTACTACATGTTCATTTAAATAGGTTGAAAACGAGCCAACCCGCAAGCCATTTTTTTAAGTCAACCCACGAGCCATTTTTTTGAGCCAACCTGCTAGCCAACCCTAACTGGCTCGAGTCGGGTTGTGTCGAGATTTCTGACTCTTTTTTTTTAGCCAACCCTATCTCGGTTTGTTTTTTTCAGGTTGGGTCGGATTGAATCGGATGGGCCCGTTTTGCCAACCCTATCTGCAGGCTAAAAATATTATATTTTTATTTTTATTATATGATAGTCATTATCAAGTTTATCCTTTTATTTTACAATAAATTCATACCAATCTCACGGTTTTATAAAAACAATGAAGAGCGGGACAAATTTGAAAATTATTAAACGCATCGGAAATCAGATTTTTTTTTATAAAAAATCTATAGATTGTAAGGATAAAACATATATTTAAGTATCAATATAACCTTAGTCTATTCATACGTTAACAAAATATTAATATATTATATATCTTTAATTTTTATTAAAATAAATGCTATGTTCACTGATACATTAGTAATGTGCTAATTATTTCTTAGTTTAGTTAGGTACCGCAAATCTTCCAATAATTCTTTCGCACGATTTTTTTTTTTTTTGTGAGAGACAATTTTATTCAAACCGAAAACATCCACGTTATATTTGAAAGGAAATTTTTTGGCATAGTAATATAGACATTCCGGCAGATTGTCAGCATATACACATTTTTGCCCTCCTTGACCACATGGAAAAATGTGATTAAAATATTTTATACATGTAGGAATGATGGTTCACCGTTTTCATAAAAAATTGTCAGCACATGGATAAAGCTAGGGAAATAGATTCTCCAACAATTATAGTGTGAAGTTACCTTATCCAATTTTTACAATAACTATATATATTCATTAAAATGGGGCAAGGCACAACAATTATTATATCATAAGAGAGTGTGTAGAATAAAGACAATAATTGCAGAGGATAAAGTACGAGGACCTAATTATCTATCTTTTGCAATAATTGCAAAGCTAGCTCCTGGTTATCATTTTTCTCCTAGTCACTCCTGAAAAATCTAGTGTTTCTAAGAAGGAAAAAAATTTGCAACCTCGAAGTAAAGAAAATAATTTAACTCTTGTACTGTAAGTGTACATAAGATGTGTCCCATGAAAGGTGAAGTATCTTGATATAGGGGGTGTCCACAGTGGCCTTGGTAGAGACCAAGGCACTAGTGAAGCTTCCCATGTATGTGCTCAAGGGGGGAGTGTGTGTATGACTAGGGTTGTTCTCCTGATGGCAGCGCATGAAGCTGAATGGAGAAGAAGATGATCCCCTCCTCAATGTGAGAGGGGGGTATTTAGAGCAAGAGCTCCAGTCAACTTAGTCAGTCTAGCCTTTTCAGGCTAGGCATGCTGAACCCCTGCCTTTGTGCAGGGGTGTGCATGGGGAAGAGGGGGCATCCTATGATGCCTTCTAGAAGAGGGCTCCTTAGGCTGGGCCTAACGGTTGGGCCCATGTGAGTGGGCTATCCAGAACAACTCTCTCATAAATTATGTCCACACACTATAATAATAAGTAATGTACTAATTTATAATAATAATATTAAGGATTTAGTGTTTGTCATTTTAAATGACATAAGTTATGTCATTTTAGGAGAGTAGACACAGAAAAAAGAAAATCATGGAAAAGAGAAAATGAGTGATTTTTTTAATTTAAAATTTAAATAAAAAAAATTTATATGTCTGTCTCTTTCTTAAAATGACATAATCTTATGTCATTTAAAATGACAAACACTTACTGATTTGAAAAATTACAGATAGAATACATTGAAAAAACGAATACCAATACAGATGGAGAAAACTGTGAGAGAACCACCAGAGCGATCATCGGAGGAGGAAGACATACTAAAGCGAAGTAATAAACGTAATAAAGATCGTGGAGAAAAATTCTCACATGATGTATCAATGGTTCCTAGGGAGGAATCCTGGATGAAGGACCAAGAGGAGGGTCGAATTTCATGGAAGGAGATGCTGCAACGTCATAATGGAGAGAAGAATGATGAGGAGGATACTGATACTCTTGAAGGTGAGAATTTGCAGGGTGAACCAGCTGAGGAACAAGACGTTAATTTTGGGGGCATAAAGATGTGGGTGGAAGAGGATGGAAAGACTCATTTTGGTTGCACTAAGAGAGGAAGAAGACGCTTGCATAGAGTGTGGGAAAAAGCTTTGATTGTTAAGCTGCTGGGCAGGTCTATAGGTGTCTCGTTCATGAAGAAAAAGATCGAGGAGCTATGGGGAAGGAAAGGAAAAGTGAACGTCACAGATATTGGGAATGAGTTTTATGTGGTTCAATTTAGTGATGATGAAGACATGGAATTTGCTCTAAGTGGAGGCCCTTGGGTTGTCCTAGGTCATTATCTGTCCTTACGTAAGTGGGAACCTGGCTTCAGGCCTAATGCTGAGGGCATATCAAAGATAGCAGCTTGGATCCGCCTTCCTAATATTCCATTGGAATTTTATGATGAAGTTTTCTTTCGTAGGGTGGGTAACTGGATAGGGAAGTTAATAAAGATTGATAGGACTACAAACCTTCATGCTAGGGGTCGCTTTGCAAGGATCTGTGTTGAACTAGATTTGGCTAAACCTTTAAAAGGAGAGTATGTTCTTGAGGGAGTTTTGAAGCATATAGAATATGAAGGTCTAGGGCTCATTTGTTTCAACTGTGGAAAGTATGGCCATAGCAAGGATTGTTGTTCTGAGATTGTTCAAGAACAGATCGTGGTGAATGAATCTCATCCTTCTGGGGATGGTGAAGCTGATAAAGTTGAAGATAACCGGAACGGTCTTGGCCCTTGGATGGTGGTTAATCGCCAACGCCGCCCTAGAAGCCAAGCTGCTACCCAAGATGGCAGAACGCCGATGACTTCGAGAAGAATCACTCAACGTGATTTCGGGGAGAATACTGCGCAATCAAAGCAGTTATCAGTGCAATCATATCAGCCTGTTTTAAATGCAGTAAATACAAAATCACGTTATGACAGTTTAATGGTGATTGGGGATTTGAATCAAGCTGAGCTGGAAGTGATTAATGAGGAGCCTAATCATGGGCATAATCCTAGCGTAATTAATGACCAAAAATCAAGGGGAATTGAGGGAGCCATCAGCGTAGAAAATAATGGCATTATTAATAGTGGTTTAAAAGGTTTTAATCGAAAAGATGCCTCGAGTCATTCTAGCATTGAATTGGAAGAACATGCAGATAGGTACATCCTTGTTGGGGGACCCTCAAATGATAGGGTAGCCTCTAAAAATGTTCCTATGCCTTCAAAAAAAGAGGATTTGGCCAATAATATAGGGCTACGTCAGAAAGCTATTGCTAAAATTCAGAACCAGCATTTGACTACCCCTATGTTACTTGTAGATAGGCAAGTTGTGTTGCCTCATGTTCAAAATACAGCAATGGAAGTGGATCAGAACGTGGGGGACCAAAGTGGGAGTGATAATGGTTTAAAATATCCTAAAGCTCCGGATCCTAATAGGACTTTGGTCACTACCCATTCGGATGCGTCTATTTTATCGCATCACATGGAGGTTGATAAAGGAGGTATAAATGAAGATAGTGTTGAGATTGTTAAGGGGTCAGCAGGGTACCAGGAACCTGCAACCCTTATGGTTGATTGATGTCTTTGCTGGCTTGGAATTGTCGCGGGGCGACAAAGAAAAGGTTTTTGGGAACCTTAACTAGTATGATCCGAAAACACAGAATAGATTTGACTGCTATTTTTGAACCTAGAATAAGTGGTGGGAAAGCTCAAAAGATTATTAAAAGAACAGGGTATAACAACTGTATTGTGGAAGAAGCTCAAGGTTTCATGGGAGGGATCTGGGTTTTGTGGAACAAGGAGTTCTGTAATGTTACGATTTTGGAAAAGAACATGCAAATGGTTCATTTGAAAGTTTGTTTCTCCGATAATGTTGCGTTCTTATGCACATTTATTTACGCCAATCCTAGAGAAGAGGTGAGACGTAGCCTTTGGCAGGATCTTCGTCGGATTGCTGATTCTATGAATGAGCCCTGGCTTATCACCGGTGATTTTAATGAAATCGCTTCCCCTTTTGAGAAACGTGGAGGTGCCCCGGTAGATTTATATAAATGTAACAGATTTGCTTCCTTGCTTACGGATCTGAAGATGATTGATTTGAATAGTTCCGGTTCGAGATTTACTTGGCGTGGTCCTCGTTTCCTGAATATGGATAGAGTTTTCAAACGGTTAGATCGTGCTTGCAGTAACGATTTATGGAGGGTTACATTTGAGGAGGGTCATGTTAGAGCCCTTCCTAGGTTAAACAGTGACCATAACCCCCTTCTTATATCCTTGTCTTCTTCAAAAGATGAGTGGAAGGATCGTCCTTTCCGTTTCCATTCCTTTGCAGGACCATATCCTGTTCAATCAATTTTTAAAGGACAATTGGCACGTGCATGGGAACATTGCTGATTGTTTGAAGGTTCTTACCCCTTGCATTAAGGAGTGGAATGAGAAGGTGTTTGGGAATATTAAGCATAGGAAGAATAAGTTGATGAGAAGACTTGAAGGTATTCAAAGAGCCATTTCTGAGCACAATAAAGATTATCTGGAGAAAGTGGAGTGCAAGATCAAAGCTGAACTTGAGGAGGTCCTTGATCAAGAGGAGTTATTATGGTATGAAAAGTCTCGAACTCAGTGGATTAATCAAGGTGACAGAAACACGAGATACTATCATACAAAGACTATTGTCAGAAGGAAAAGAGGTAGAATCGTGGAACTCAAGGATGATAATGGAAGTTGGATTCGTGAAGAGGAAGGCCTGGTTAAGATGATCCGCGATTTTTATATTAATCTTTTCAAAGATGAAAGCTGTCATCGTGAGTGGATCAATACTAGATGGCCTATTGTTCCTGAGGAAGTCATGGATAAATTAAGGGTGAGTGTTACTAAGGAGGAAGTTAAAAAAGCTTTTTTCACAATGAAAGGCTCAAAAGCCCCAGGGGAGGATGGGTACATAGCTGCTTTTTATCAAAAGAACTGGAATCTGGTAGGTGATCAAGTCTGGAATGCTTTCCTAGCTTATTTGGAAAACCCGCAAACCATTGCTGATATTAATGGTACGATTATTACCCTTATCCCAAAGGTTAATAAGCCTACGTTGGTTTCTCAATTCAGGCCAATTTCCTTGTGCAATGTGATTTACAAAGGCATGAGTAAAGTTATAGTGGGTAGACTAAAGGAAGTAATGGAAGCTTTGGTTTCTGATAACCAAACCAGCTTTGTCCCAAACAGAAACTTGCAGAATAACATTATTGCAGCTAAAGAGATTGTCCATTCGATGACAAAGTTTAAAGGTAAGATGGGTACTATGGCCATTAAAATTGATTTAGAGAAAGCCTATGATAAGCTGAATTGGTCGTTTATTCGTAAGGTTATCTCTGAAATACAGCTTCCGTCTTGGATGGTTGAATTCATTATGGCGTCTATCACAACTAATAGTTTCAAAGTGCTTGTGAATGGGGGCTTGTCTGAAACTATTATTCCTGAACGTGGAATTCGACAGGGTGATCCATTATCCCCATACATCTTTGTCTTATGTGTTGAAAAGCTATCTCATCTTATTGCTCAAAGGGTTGGCAGTGGTGTGTGGAAACCGATCAGAGTGTGTAGAGGTGGTCCAGCAGTCTCCCATCTCATGTTTGCAGATGATATTGTCCTTTTCTCTGAAGCTTCGGTGCAGCAAATGCAGGTAATAATGGAGTGTTTAGATCTTTTTTGCAGAATGTCTGGTCAAAGTATAAGTGTTCATAAGTCTACCATTTATTTCTCTTCCAATACATCTGATGCAACTGCAAATGCAATTTCTGCGCTCTCTGGGTTCAAAAGAGTTAGTAGCATTGGTAAATATCTGGGCTCTTTTATCAGGCAAGGGCGAAATTTGAAATCAAATTATGCTGATCTAATGGATCGGGTTCGTAAGAAACTTGATGGATGGAAGCATCAAAGTTTATCTTTTGCGGGGAGAGTCACTCTGGCTAAATCAGTGATTGGTGTTATTCCCTCTTTTCATATGCAGAATGGTCTTCTTCCCACTTCTGTGTGTGATGAGATTGAACAGCTTCAACGGAACTTCATTTGGGGTATTAATAAAGCTCATTTAGTGGCTTGGGACACAATGTATAAGCCGAAGGAAATGGGAGGTCTTGGTATTATCAGATTGCGTACTCAAAATGAGGCTTATATTCATAAGTTGGCTTGGAAAATCTTAACTGACAAGGAGGAACTTTGGGTTAAGATTTTGAGAGCCAAGTATGGCAGAGGTAAAGATTTGAGGCGTGAGATAAGCTCTAAGCCTTATGATTCTAAACTTTGGCGGGACCTTTCTAAATGTTGGAACAGTTTTTTAGCCGGTCTTCGATGGGAGGTGGGTGATGGAGAGACTATTAAATTCTGGGCGGATAATTGGTTGAATCTGGATGATAATCTTTGTAATTTAGCTCCTAATCACATTCCTGATCTGGAATTGCATAGAACCATTGCTGAGATCTTTCAGCATGGTACCTGGGATGTTCGATATTTGAAGCAATTCTTAAATGATGAGCTAATCTCTAAGGTGTTTTGCGTTCCTGTTGCTTTGGAAGATAATACTGAGGATAAGTTAGTTTGGTGTCAGAATCATGTGTCATCTTCCTTAGTTAAGGTTGCCTACTTGAACTTGATGAATTTTCAACATGCTCAAAGGAATGTTCCCTGGAAGAAGATTTGGGACTGGAAGGGTCCAGAAAGAATCAAGACTATGATGTGGCTGGCTTTTCTTAATAAGCTTCCAGTTAGGAGTCGTACATGCAAATGGAATGGGGGTCCTAATTTTTGCATTAACTGTCCAAACAGTGAAGAAACTCTTATTCATGTCCTTAGAGATTGTTCTCAAGCCAAAAGATTGTGGATAGATTGGTTTGGTAGAAGGGTCCCCAACGATTTCTTCACATTAGACCTACAGCCTTGGCTCATCAAAAATGTGAGTAAGGGTTGGAATTATCAAATTCATGTTGATTGGAGAGATGTTTTCTATACTACTTGCTGGAATCTTTGGAATTGGCGTAATCATCATATTCATGATGATAGTTTCCGAAGGCCAAGCAATGATAAGCGTGTCATTTCTGATTTTATTGCGCATTTAATTGAAGCTAGAGGTAAGAATAGAAGCATTCTTGGCAGCTTCCCTAATGCCCATCAGCCTACTAAATGGTGTCGTCCTGAACCTGGTCGGTTGAAGATTAACACAGATGGTGCTTCTTCCTTATCTAGGCAGCATGCTAGCTGTGGAGGCCTTGCTAGAGATCACAATGGTGCTTTTCTGGGTGGTTTCTCTTTCAGATTAGGTTTCTGTAATCCTCTTGATGCAGAACTCTGGGGTATCCTCAAAGGCTTAGAGCTGGCCTGGGGTACTGGTGCTAGGAGAGTGGAGTTGGAATGTGACTCAGAAATTGCTCTTAGCATTATCCAAGAAGGGAGCAATAATCACAGAAACTCTCAGGTTGTTTCCCGTATTCACAAATGGCTTGCTGAAGATTGGGATGTTCGTTGGGTCCACACTTTTCGAGAAAATAACAGATGTGCTCACTGGTTTGCTTCTAGGCATTTTGAGGATGATAATAATCTTATTGTTTATCATTCTCCTCCTTCTCCTTTGTTAGAGCTCCTTCTTCAGGATGCTTTTGTAGATCTTTTAAGTTCTCGCGTCGTGTAATTCTTAATTATTCCGTTGCATATAATTGCAAAGTGTCATCGATAGTGATTCATGAGGTGAGTCTTCACACCGGATTCGGTTGGTATTGACTTACAGGCAGGCTAAGGTCCTAGTCATCTTCTCTATTAAGAGTTGCTTCCCCACAATTTTTTTGACATCAAATCACAAATAAAATTTCATCCAAATCAAACACATTCCAATCATAAAAATTAAAAAGACCGAAAAATGTATCTTAAAACGGCTATGGGCTATAGTTTCGGTCAATGTACCGTTTTCTTATCATAAAAATTAGTCAACTTATACTATGCATAACTAATTAATAGCATATTTATCTGTGTTTTTCTTAAGAAAAAGTATTTTATCAATTAAAACTTGTTTAAGAAATTTATAAAAATTAAATAAGTTTTTTGAAAAAAATATAAACCTTTAAAAAATGTTTTAACATTTTTTTTCAAAAGTTAGAAAGAAAAAAAAATATCATAAAAGTATTTTTTTTTCCAAAATTTATCTAAGGGAAATGTACTCCTCCTTTCATGGGAGAAGAGATATTTTGCACCAATCAATTATAACTATCTCTTACGGGTAAAATATAGTTATAATTTTTTTTAAAAAAATTTCCTCTCCTCAGAAGACTATGGGCTGACGTGACAGAAAAAAAAATTAATATTAGAACTATATCTTAATGATAAGACATAGTTGTAATTGGTTGTTGCACAAATTTTTTTCTGCACGAAGTTGGTAACCCTTTATCTAAACATACCTTAAACCTAAAAGCAAACACTCTACCGGGTGAAACTAATAATAATAATGATAATGAAACCCAAAAGATTCCATCACTCATAATATACAACTTAATAAGATATTTAAAACATGCTGGTCACGCATACACTATAACATATATATACGTATCTTGTTTGTTTGCAGTGCCATTTCTATATTTTAAAATGCCCCCTAATGTAAAACTGGGAATATTTGTATCCTAGGGAGATTATAATTTTTTGATTTATTTGAATCTTGTTCTAGCATTTTAAAAATTGATTGATTTGTCTATACTTGCACTTTTTTTTATCTTCACATGCCATCCCCTAGCTAAACTCTCATGCAAGTCATTGGACAAGACATCAATCTCAATGCACTTTTTTTCTAAATGATTCATGTCAGTTCACCTTGGAATTTCAGAGGGGCCCGAGGGAATAAAGTCTATGTAAGTATCCAAATATAATATATCATAGTTAGGAATGTGATCTTAAGATTAATTGTTCAGAGAGAAATTTAGTCTTAAAACTCGTATATATATCAGGTAACATCCACTACAGATAAAATGTATCATAACCCTGTATGTATTGATGTGAGTCTAGCAGATGATGTTTTCTAACTTAAAAGAAGCAAGGAATTAATCATAAATGTGTGAAAATAATCATTAAATGCAAGAAATATTGATTATTCCTTCTCAATCATGCTCTCACTCAAGTTATATGTTAAATAGCACGAAACGCCGCAAAAAGGAGCAAAAACGGAGAAACCAAATTTCCCGCTGGCGCACGACGCGCGGAGGTTGGCGCACGACGCGCCAAACTGGCGCACGAGGCTCGGTACTTGGCGCACGGGGCGCTTTATCGACGATTTGCTTCTGTTTCGTCCGCGCACGGAGCGCTGGAGGTGGCGCACGACACTCCAACCTGGCGCCCAGCGCGCGGGAGTTGGCGCACGGCGCGCAGGACTGGCGCACGGCACTCCATAGTTGGCGCCCGGGGCGCCGTTGACAGATTCAACTTCTGTTTCTCCCAAGTTTGGGGCGCCAGGCTTGGCGCCCCGTGCGTGGGCGATATATTTTTAAGTGCGAATCAGCTAAAATAAGGCCCAATGGGAGTGCAAAGGAAAATAGGTTTTCCCAAAACCTAATAAAAGGATCAGAAACATAAGGGAGAGAGACTTTTTGACAACAAAGAGGAGAAAGACAACAAGGGGAGTGGAATTTCTTGGAGCTTCGAGGAGATTCAAGGATTCGATCATCAAGACGGAAGAGCTTCATCTTCATTTTCTCTTCTAGGTTTTAAATGTTATTTTCTTTTATTGTTATTTTGTCAGACATGAATATGTCTGGCTAGTTTTATCATTGTGGTAAGGGTCACAACCCTTGATGTGAACCCCTTGTACCTTGGTTGAATTTTATGTTTATCTATTGTAATTGCATTTATCTTTTCTTGTTTTTCATTCTATAATTCTATTGGAACTGATCAATCTAGTAGGATTGCGAGGGTTAGGGTTTACAATAGGGATGTTGGAATTCTAATTCCTGACAAAGAATAAGATAACTGTTCATGTACGCACTAGGGATAGGCTATATGAACCGCGAACGTTAAAGATTCATTGATTTTAAGGGTTAACTCGAAAAGGGATTTCTAAGGGATTAGGATTCTAATAGAATTGACAAGGTTAAGGTCACTAAGGGATTAGGGCTTAACTAATCATATAAAAGATGATGAATTGTTTGATCAATTGAATAGGTAAATGTAAACGTAATCCAAGTTGCAAGGTGGGGATCGGAAAGGTGTTTGTTTCTCTTACCTCAATATTTTCTCAAATATTTTCTCAATCCTTAATCTTTTGTTCTTGCATTCTGAAAACACTTTTGGAAATCATTTACATTTTTACTTTAATTAGTTTAGTTTGTTTCATGAACTACAATCATTCTCAACCTATTTTGATTAATCCAACAAGAGAGGAATAGTTATAACAACTTAGGTGCCTCAATCCTCGTGGAAACGATACTCTACTCACTCTTTATTACTTGGTACGATCGGTGCACTTGCCGATTATACGCATCAAGTTTTTGGCGCCGTTGCCGGGGATTGACTACGCCAAGTTATTTATAACTTTTGATTTTCTTGCTTGGATCTTTGTGTTACTAATTTGTTTGCTTTAGTTTATGCGTGGTACAGTTGATCCTGCAGCTTTGATTTACGATCCAGAGATAGAAAGGACTGCAAAGAGGATAAGACAACATACCAAGCAGAAGAGGCAAGCAGAGGCTTCTACTTCACATTCTGAAGCAGAAAATTCTACTTCACACTTTGAAGTAGAAACAGAGATGGCAGAAGAAAATCCACCAGCGGCTGAGCTGATGGAATCAGTTTTGGCTCCTCAATTCACAAGGCCAAACTCGAGTATTGTCAAACCACCGATTGCTGCTAATAATTATGACATCCAGCCAGCACTCATCACCTTGGTGGAGAAAACTCAGTTTGGTGGAGAGGACTATGAAGATCCTCACGACTTCATAGACAGATTCTTAAGGATCTGTGATACAACTAAACACAACGGAGTGTCAGACGATGCGATCAGACTCCGATTGTTCTCGTTTGCATTGACCGGGAGAGCTCTCAAATGGTTGGATCGACAAGCTCCCAACAGCATCAAAACATGGGAGGATTTGGCGGTTAAATTTTTTGCTGAACACTTTTCCATGGAAAAGTACAATAAGTTGGTGAATGAAATCACCAATTTTACCCAACAACCAGGAGAGACTTTATGTGCAGCCTGGACTCGATACCAGGAGTTGATCAGGAAGTGTCCACAATATGACTTGCCAGATACAAAGAAGGTCAGAGTCTTCTATAATGGGATGACGCCAGAATGCAGAATGATTGTCAATGGTGCAGCTGGTGGCACCATAGGAAAGAAGACAGTAGATGAGACCTTAGAGCTGCTGGATTTAATGGCAAGGAATGAGAATGCGTCTATGGCAGCAGCATTCCCATCTGTTCAGCCCAAGAAAGGAATTTTACAATTGGGGAATAATGATGCATCACTGGCGGAGCAAAAAGTGATTTCACAGCAATTGGCCAGTTTGAATGCCAAGCTGGACAAGATGCAGCTCTCAACATCCAAGGTTGATATATTTAACTGTGAGTATTGTAAGGAGCCGCATGATACTAATGAGTGCCCTACACTCAATAGAGCTGAACCATTCCAGGTCAATGGAATTTGGCCTCCACAGAATATTCAAGGTTACCAAAGGAATCAGAATGGCGGCCAAGGAAATAACTTTCAAAGGAGGGATCAAGGGAGCGGCTTGGATTATAAATCCAACAACTATCTGCAACCTCCTCCTCTGCCACAAAAAGAGCCATCTGAATTGGAGAAAGCGATGATACAACTTTCCAAAACCACTAATGATCACATAAATGAGACAAGAGCCTACCACAAGAACCAAGACGCTTCAATCAGAAACTTGGAAACTCAAATTGGCCAACTTTCAAGACAACTAGCTGAGAGGAGTCAAGAAAAGAGCGATGCAGTGTCAAAGGAGCAATGCAATGTCATCACTACAAGGAATGAGGAGCTAGAAAAAGAGAAAGTTGAAGTTTCTACAAGAAAGGATGAACAAACTCAAAAAGATGAAGAAGAAGCAAAGGAACAACCTCCTGCAGTTCACAAAGCAAAATGAGCAAAGGAAGCAATTGTCTAAATTTTTAGATATTTTTAAGAAATTGCAGATTATTTTGTTATCCTTGACATTGATGAAGATGCCAGTGTGCCTATGAT